TATTCCTGCCACTACTTGCAGTTCCATTTATGTAATGTGTATGTGTCTCCTTCATTAGTTCTTCTTAAATCCTTAGGTTCTTGTGCAGCTGCTGAAAAGAACGTGTGTGCTTTCACACATCTAATTTTTTAATATGGTCTTAGTTGTCCCATTTTTACAACGGTCCTAGTATGGTCTATTTTAATACCGTACTCTAAAAGCAAATGGCAGGCTTCATAAACCCRCTGAATCGAGACAGGCTTTTCATGTGTTCATATGACAAAATCTGCCCCGTTCTTGCRCTTCTCTGCCTCTTGACGCCAGTTACTTTTTCCCCGAAGATGCCTATGGCACTGAGATGCATTAGCCGTATGCCCGACTGTGGAATCGGGAAGCGGCACGTGGATACGTCGGCCTGTTTTGACCGTCAAGCGCAAGCCGTGTTTGGGTGCCAGTGACCTTGATGGGTCCTGTGTGGGAGGAGAGGCTCCCGGCTACCGAGTACGGAGCCTCGGCTGCGCTGAAGCGCCTTGAGGAAGTCTGGCTGCTCATAAGTGCTTTTAATAACAGATATAAGCATCGCTGTGGCAAACTAAGGGTCAGGAAGAAACCTAGCAGCAATTTGGGTTGAATCTAGAGAACTTCTAACTTTTTTCAGACTGATAGGATTTGCTAGTTGGATGAGGGGAAGAATACTTGTTTTTTTTTTAAAAAAAAAACACATTATTTAAGCGCTTTTCACTAACATGCAGATATCCTCTGCTTATGTACAGGGGTATGTGATGTATTGGAAACAAAAAAGACAAAGATCTGCTTTAGAGCTGGGTAGAGGATGGGAAATCTTTKTAGAGGACTGTAGACCATTCTTCTGGTCTAGTTTGTCATCTCTCTTTGCCTTACCTGGCCTCGGATGAGGAGATATGGCCACCCTCTATATTTCACTCAGCTTGGAGCTTCTCGTCAAAAGAATACTAGCAATAACTAGCCACTGAATTACATAGCCTTACGGTGTATCTTTAGCAATGGCGAGTTAAAAATGAGGTTAACCTAGGAAAAAAAATTAGTGAGGTAAACTTTGGGATGATTTCTTTTGTGAACTAATGACTGGGAGGTGCTSTAAATGTGAAGTCAATTCAGTTGAGCACGATAGATTTGAAGTGTGTAATTGGGGGAAAAAAAAGCCAATTATTTAGTATAAAATACTAGTGTCATTATAACTTTGATACAAGATTTTTATCTTCAATAAGTAGGGAGACAGCAGTGTTTTTCTTTTCTTTTTTTTACCATTCTGTTGGATGAAAAATCTCTTTTTCCTTGCCTCTTTGAGGGCCTATGTAGCTGTTCTAAAGCCATCCGTGCAAAATGGYTTTAAAACAAGTCTTCATCAGCTCTGAACTTGTGACCGAATCAAAGAACTTGTTACTATTGAGTCATCTACCACAGWCAGTTCCTGGATTACAAAGTCAGTTATTAAGCAATTTCAGGAATTGTATACATTGSAAAGTAGCTCTAAAGTAAAATAGGGTATTCGTTTTAATTGGAGAAATGTATAGACTCATTTGGCCAAATTCATTGCACGTGTAAACGCTATGGTTTTGAGTAGTGTTGAGCCTACTTTAGAGTGTCTGTTGCTGAGTCAATTTTAAATACTATAAATGAGGATTCAGCACAAAAATTAATGTTCTAGTTTGTTTGGTTCTGTGGTAAAAGTCCTTTGTCTCACTGATACAAGGGACTTGGAAAACTTTGTGGAGGCTGGTTACATAGAATTGATTTTCTTTTGCATTTCCACCTCTCTCTCCTGAATAATCCTGCTCTGACTGAAGGAGTGTCCTTTGAAAGTCTGTACTTTGTTGCAAAGTGTTTAGTTTCTATTTCAAAGTAAAGCGACTGATAGTAAATAAGCTCTGCTAACTCAATGTTTATCCAGATTGTGTACTGAGTGAAAATACATGTTTTTATAGCTCTTGGTTACTAAACCAAGCTCCATTCCCTTTTCTCTTTTGCTCAATCTCAAACTCTCCCTTTCTTCCTTCATGCAGCTGCATTGTACGCCCGGTGCTACTCTCATGGGTCTCAAGAATCAGATGAAGAATTTGATGCTCGCTGGGTGACGTACTTCAACAAGCCAGATATTGATGCCTGGGAGCTAAGGAAAGGTGCGTTGAATGAAATTACAGTAATATGGAGAAAATCCAACTGCTCAGCAATAGTATTATGGCCAGAAGCAATTCATTTTTTGCTGGACTGCTTGGGAGCAGAGGTAGTGTTATCTAGAAAACTCCTTACCCATAGAAGTTCTGTAAATTGAGCTGTATTGCTAAAATAGTACCTTTTAAAATCAGTAATGCCATGGACTTCACTGACATTCGGCTGAGAAGGGGCTAATTTGGAGTGTTTACATCATTCACACTGATGAATGATTTTCAGGAACCTATATTAAAAAAAATTGGTGCATACCTGATGCTTTTGTGAGGTGAGGCAAGCCATGCCCAGTAGGTTTCTTTTGCTTGCATGATGAACTGGTGACAACTTTATTTCTTCTTTATATTCATAGGCATAAATACACTCGTGGGTTATGACCTGGTGCCGGAACCAAAAATCATCGATGCAGCTCTGAGAGCCTGCAGGCGGTTAAATGACTTTGCCAGCGCAGTCCGCATCCTAGAAGTTGTAAAGGTAAATGGAATGATAATATAAGGTGTGACTGCTGCTTTCACGTTGCTGAATGTTCTTCAGAGGAAGAGAGATTTTCTTTGCTTACTGCAGGCAGAAGCCCACAATTTCCTGCTTCTAGAAGCAACAAGTTGACTGTGATCAAGTGTCTGGTGATTTTTAAGGTAGTTCTGAAGTAGAAGGACTCAACAGCACTGAGTCACAAGCATGTTATTACTTTCATATTTTCCTTTTCTGTTACTGACTTTTTGATCTTGTCCTYCATTGAGTAAACAGGCACTTCTCACCATTGCAGGCCAGGATAGAATGGGGGACACGCTTTATTTTTTCCCCTTTTCTCCCCATGCAGAACTGTAGGGCTGGAGGCTGTAGGAAAACTCGGGGTCAGTATGCAGTCCCCCTGAAGCTTTGGTGAAGAATGTTTCTTACCATTTCTCCCTAATTCACAGGGAAGATAAACTTTTAATCAGGTCTGTGTGTAAACTGTTCTCTTTTTTTCTTCCTATGTGCTGGTTGTATATTGTTTTTCTTTTATTTCATGAGGTGTAAGCAGTCTTTGGGCAGGTTTRCAAAACCTCCTTCCTTAAAGCAACTACTTCTTTAGTTCTGTGGATTGTGACACACCAGCCTAATGTTAAGCAAGAGAAAAGCAAGAAATKATACTAATACTCTGGAAATCCTCTCAACTGGGAATTAAGCATGATTTGGGGTGCTTCATAGCTGTGATTGATGGGCAGGAGAACTTTCTCGTGCAGATATATGAAAATCTTGTTTATTTGACATGCAGAGATAATGTGAGCACACATCTTGACTGTAAGCATGTGWGAGTTATAATGGACCTGGATGTGACCACAACCTGCTGGCGAGTTAACACTGTTCTTTTTATTTAGGACAAGGCAGGACCTCACAAGGAAATCTACCCTTACGTCATCCAGGAACTTAGACCAACTTTGAGTGAACTGGGAATCTCTACTCCAGAGGAACTGGGCCTAGACAAAGCATAAACCTAACTGGTAAGGGGATACATATTCTTGAAAATAAGTGTTGCAGCTGCTTGAGGGGCTTAGGGAAGCTGGCAGCAGTACTGAGCCTTCTAGAGATTTCTGGATAGCAGTTGCTAGAGATATTGATGSAGAGTGAAATTGTGTATTGCCAAGGCAACAAATATTGCAGTGCTCATTTGGCAGTATGTAGACCTTTGCTCCCCATCACATTTTAGTGGCAAATATTTTTAGCAAATGGGAGAATCGTTTTGTCTGGGAGTGCACATGCTTTCATTTTATTGTCACAATCCAGCCAATTTAGAAAACTGGGAGATGCTAATTACTACTCCATGCTAGAAAATGGCCTCGTTGATGCTAGTGATGCAGCAGTACTGAAGTTTTGTTACCTTGCAGTTAAAAGTGCCAGGGCTTTTTCTTAGTTTCAGAACTAAATTGAAGGACTTTTTGCCTATAGAATAATCAGATCAGCTCGAGCATGTCCAGAGCTCAAGTGCCCTTTGAACAGAGCTTGGTCTTGGTAGATAACTCTTTAGGCTGTGTGTGTTATCCTTAAAATTGATCTAGGAGGTGTCAGGGTGTGCATAGTAGTTAATTCTGCATCTCTGTCTCCTTGCTTCCCTTGAGATGGGAAGTCTTGGTGTACTGGGAATGCAGGGACTGTGTGTGGGGGCTGAGTGAGGTTAAACTGGACTTTGCAAGTGTAAAATGGAGCAACAGAAATAAATTATTGGTGACCATACGAAACCGTGTGGAAAGCTGCTTATCTGATGACTTTTCTGTTCTTTTGCAGGTGGATTTACCAGTGCGTTTTACTGATGCTGTCTGATTGTACACAGTCATCTGGAGACATAAATGTTAAAATATTACCTTATTTGAAATAACTTTTCTTCCTTTATTGAGTCACAATGCATGTGATGTGAAGGTGGACCTAATAAAGGAAAAACTGTTTTGACTGATGTGGTGGTGGTGGCCTATGTGACTTTATTTGTTCCTCTTAGTAGGAAAAGAGAAAACAGAATGTGCTTTCCATGAGCGAAATGACCACTTTCCATGTACTTTCTGTGACCACTATTACCTGCCCGGAGTGCTGCCAGGTTGCTTTCCTAAACTAATAGTACTGCTRGCCAGCAAGGAAAGCTGGATCCTTGTGGATTTGTGTGTAAGGGAGTGAGAATTGGCTGTTCGCGCTGCCCGGTGCGGCTGTTCAATCCACAGGGGCCGGTGGACGCGGCCGTGGCCTCRGCCGGGAGGTGCCCGCGGCCCCAGTGTGCCCTGAAGCGGGTCCCCGCGGGGCGCAGCGCGCATGCGCCGCCCGCCCC